TTCTTGCTTTGCAATGATATAATATAAAGCTTATAGATCTTCTATCACCCATTATGGCTATTACAATTGGGTACAAAATAAACACAAATTTGCATGTATACTATGTATATATACAACCACAGGTACACACAGATATGTGTAGTGCACATATGAACATATATGTATACATATATATACATACTTTTTCTCTTTTTAAAGATCACTTACTCATCTTTATTCTCTTCTTTTAAAAATATAGTTTTTAAAAAAGCTATTGATGGCTACTCATATAAATCAAAAGAATTAAGCTTGACTTATGAGAAGTGAAATAGTAATAATTCAACTCATATGCTAATTTTAAAATTACATCGACAAAAATAGCCTATTAAAAACACAAAAGAAGTATACCTCAGTTCTTTATTATGGCATTCAGGAAGAATGGGATTGTAGAAATAAATTGAATGGGACAAAGTGGGGGAAACATACAAAGCAGAAGAGGGCATAATATAAAGAATGAAATATACAAACACAATACAAGGAACAAGGGTACTTTCTGATCTCTATGGAAACATTTGCTTCTTTCAATCTGTTTTCCAAAACTGAGTCTAGTGTACACCAATAGTTCTCCAATTTTGGTGAGCCTTAGGAATACCCATTTAAAACAAATTGCTGGACCCCATCCTCATTCCATGGTCCTAGGGTGGGGCCTCCCAAAATTTGTAATTCTAAGTTTCCAAGTGGCCATACTTTGAGAATCACTTATTAGATCTTTCTAGGTCCTGATAGTTGGGGGGAATATTCTGAGGCTACTATGAATTCCTCTAGCTTATATTTCTGAAAGTAGTCAAATTGTTAGGTAGGGTTTTTTTTCCTATCATTTTTGTGGCATATAGATGATTTTCATGGCAGCATTACAGTATTGTTCATGATATGCAGACTAGATTTTTGCAATGACTTTCCAATTTCTTTTATCAAGAAACTAAGTGAGGAAGTGGAGTTAAATTATTTCTGAAAGTATAGTTTGTTAAATAAATTATAACTAAGTGTGCATAGTATTTCTAATTTACTCAAACATGGGGGTAATCATTTATAGTTTTTGGCAATTAGATCCTGTGTTTTGTTAAATTTATACAAAGTATAATTTTTTTGAGTGATTATAAAATTTTCTGTACATTGCTAGCACACAGAAATTAAGTTTGGGGTATTAATCTTGTATTCTATGATTTTATTAAATCTACTTATTACAGTACATTCTTGGAGATTTCTTGAGACTTCCCATGTAGATAATATTATCTGCAAATAAGGACATTTTATTTTTCAATCTGTATGTTTTTCATTTCCTTAGGCTACTTAACTGGTTAAAAGGTAAAGTGCCACGTTGAATAGAAGTAGAACAGAAGCAATGACAACACATGTCCTTCCCTTATTCCCAGTCTTAGGGAGAATGCATTCAGTTTTTTATCATTAAAAAAAAATTGCAGCTGCTATTTACTAAGCTGAAGATGTTTTCTTTTGTTTCTGAGGTTTGGTTTGGTTTTGAATCATAAATGGGTATTGTTTTGCAAAATGTTTATTCTGTATTTTTCTGATTTTCTTCCTAATGTGATGAAATACATCGAATTTCTAGTATTTAATCAGACCTGAATTCCTGTCTTTCATAAATTCGACCTGCTGATATTTTGTGTCTATTTCATGAAAGCACTGGTCTCTACTTCTCTTTTCTTATAATCACTTTTCCTTATTTTCTTATTTTGATATCAGAATAATGTTGGTTTCAACTAGTCAGGTGGGAGGTATCCCCTTTTCCTGTATTTCTGAAAGAGATAATGTAAAATTGCTGTTATTTATTCTTAAATATTTGGCAGTTTCTAATAAAGGTAATTATGCATTTACCATACAACCCAATCATATTTCAAGTATTTATTGATCCTACAGAAATGAAAATTTCATGTTCATCCAAGACTCAGTAAACAAATCTTCACAGAAACTTTATTTGCAATAAGCAAAAATTGGAAATAACTCAAATGTCCTTCCATGGTAACTGGATTAAGAGATTGTGGTACATTGGTAAAATGGAATATTAATTAGTGATAAAAAGGAACAAACTGCTGACAAGTAACACTGAGGATTTAAAAGGGTAATATGATGGATGAAAAAAGTCTTAAAAGGTTACATACTTTATAAGGTTCCATTTATATAACATTATTCAAGTGACAAAATTATAGTTATGAAGCATTAGGGTTAGATGAGGGCATAACCATTTAGAATTAGTTTGTAGAGATGAAGAGTTCTATGTCCTGATTGTAACATGAATCTACACATGAGAATAGTTCATAAACAGAAAAAAAAGCATGTAAAAATTGTAAAATCTCAATAAGCTCTGTACCTGAGTTAGTAGTATTGCTGCAATGTCAATTTCCCAGTTTGACAATGTACTATCGTTATATAAGATATTATAAAAGGGAAAAGCTGTACTAATCATATAGAAGAATCTCTAACATTTTTGCAACTTCTTGTTAAGTCCTAAAGTATTCCAAAATGTAACATTATAAACAAATTACTAGTAGGCACACACACAAAAAAAGGGCACGTGACAGAGAAGCCTGACCTTAATATTCTGGATGAAGAGTCAAGAAAGACTTTATTATATAAGGAAAGACTACAAACTTTGTAGGAACACAATTCAGCTCATAACAGAGGTTTTTACCTGCCAAAAGAGTGGGGACAAAGATAAGGGCACAACAGAGATTCAAAGTCAAAGAGGTTGAAAACAGTTCTAAGTATTTTGTAATAGTTCTCATAATGACTATTTATAATAAAATATTTTAAATAGGTAATTTAAATAACTATCTGCTTGCTTTAAATGATTATATTCTGAAACAGCATTCCTGATATGTCTAAAATAAGAGCTTTGTGTGTTAAAAAAAATTTGAATGGTGGATGTATTAGAAACATATACAGTTAAAAAAATGTGGAACCCCAAACACAGTGTCTTAAACAACCAGGAGTTATTTTCTCTCAAATAAAAAAGTGCACAGGTTGGCAATTGCTCAGGTGTTCAACAATGTCATCAGGGAGCCAGGTTCTCCCTAATCTATGAGCTAAACCTTTCAAATGTAACTTTCAATTCTCACATTTGCCATTTCACGGTTGTAAAATGGTTGTTACAATTTTCTTACTGGCACTCAGTCAGAAGGAGAAAGAGGCACAAAGCTCTGACTTCTTCATTTGAAAGGAGAGCCCTCCCAGAAGGCTTCTATGCATTTCATTAGCTGAACTGTTGCATCCCACACCTGAGATTTGTCCAGTAAGATAGTCAAAAGTAATGTGACTATTCAAATTTTAAAAATTAGAAAATGAATATCACAGTTGCACTAAGAGTCCAGGAGCATTTCTAGTGCTCAAAAGCCACTAATGGCTAGTAGCTACCACAGCAGATGGCATGAATACAATTTCCTTCACTGCAAAAAGTTCTGCCTTGGTCTAATCACTGACCACAAGAAAACTACCACTTCTCTATTAAATCAATTAAGATATATCCTCTGGGATATTATAATCTCTTTGAGGAGAAGGATCTTTGGCACTATCCAGGCAAAAAGGTATTGTCAATGAAAAGAAATAGAAGTAATAGGAATATGTTGAGTATTGTCTGCCACGATGGGATTATCAGTACATTTAGGTTGAAGTTTATAAATATTACCATTGACAAAGTACTTAATAAGTAAAAACTCTTGGCAAGAAGTTATCTAAAAAATAACTTTATTTTTTATGAGTAAAAATGAAGTGAAGCTAAGACTGACAGCTATAGAAGGCAAGAAATTAACTATTACACAAATAACAATTGGTAAAGTAAATACTAATCTAGTGATGATGGGTGGTCAGAAGGAGAAAAGGTAGCAGGACAATGAGCAGGCACTAGTTTCTTTATAGCAAATGTAAATTTGAAATTGTTGATCACGGTGAAAATACATTTACCAGTTTCATGTACACAAAGAGTACATCTCTGTGAAAACAAAGATCAGTAGGGAAGAATTATCTGCATACGGGAGAAATGATTTCACATAAGATATTTAATCAGCTGCTTATTACTCACTACAGAATAAGATGAAAAAGACTGTAACATGGAATATTAGACTAAATATGAAGAGTGATTTACTAATAGTAAGAATCATTCAAAAGTTAAAAGAAGTGGATATTGGCAATAGTTTTCTTCCTAAAGACTTACAGGTTATTAAAGTTCCCCACAGTCCCTACTTGCCCAAATCCAGCAATGACAAGTTTGAAAGACTTGTACATTGTTAGCAAAAATGAGTTTAATTTAAATATACATACATAAATTACAAACTAATACTAACAATAAATATTTGTCCTCATGAGCCACTACCTGTTTTAAAAACTGATTTGTGTCTAAATAAAATGTTCAACTTTCAAAGTCCTTTCTTTTCCATTGAAACATGTAAAATACTGTTGAAGACAGGATAAAGATTGTTTTTCATGAAAATAAGAAAATGTAATTATAACTAGGAAGTTAATAGAATATGAGAATTGTAATAATTCTATTTCTAAAGATAGTTTAAATTTTATCACTTGCCAAAACTGAAGGGAACTCAACCACTGCAACCTCTTTAACCCCTATTCTCTATGGTACTTAAATATACCTTTATATAATTTACAGTTATATTTTAATAAATATAATTTGTTAAAAGGCTAAATTGAAGTGTTACAGCACAGACATTTTATAAGTAGAAATATCTACATCAAAACAAAAATTTCACAGATATTGCAGAACTTTGGAGAATGACATACTTTAAAAGCAAGATTTCAGAACATAGCAGACAAAGTAATTTAAACATCCCAAAGGAATGCAAAGCAAAATCAACCTAATACTATAAACAAAGTTAAAATAATTTGCTTCTGTAAGTTAGGTATGCTGTGTATTTCCAATCATCAGTGAGGAGTTAACTAGAAATTGAGCTCGACAATAATATGATTACAACAAAAAAGAAGCTAGGATCTTCATATGCAAGTTTAACAAATCATCATGGTTTATTTAACAAGGTTATTTCTACATCAGATTGTGGATTAAAAGCAGTTATATGTGTGATATGAAAAGACCGATGTACAATCAATAGGTCTTATTTCTTTCTTCCATGGATTTCCCCCATCTCCCTGCTTAGTAGTAAAAGGCATTTTTAGGCTTATATAAACACATTCTTTACAACTGCCTTCTTCACAGAAAATTAGAATATAAATAGCACTGGGCATTTAGTTAAATAAGTCACAGGTCAATAATTTCAACTGTGCAGTTGTGAAATCTAATGTCAAAGAGTTTTTGAAACCTTAAGACTGGGTGATCTGCAATGTTTCCAGCATGTCTTCAACTGCCTTTAGAGAGTATTTGGTTTCCTTCTTACTTCGGCCTGCAAACTAATTAAACAACAACAAAAGAAAGCTCTATTAGGCTCAATTTCAATCGCAGGTTAAAAAAAAAAATCACAACATCACCTTCATATTGCTAATGAAACTTAACATTAACTATTTTTTCACTAGCATGGAATCAAACATCTTCATAAGAACAAAAGTTAAGGTTTAAGAACCTTTTTATTAAGGTTTCATCCTCAGTTGAGGTGTACAAAGGTTTCACTCCATACTTGGTTGGTTTTAAGTAGTATGATAACATCATAGATTTGATTTTAAAACTATCTCATATTCAGACCCCAAACATGCATAAAATAACAAGCATAAATTTTAGAAGTTTAACATATTTATTAAGGCACACAATAATAATTTCCACTTATCTTACCTCTAAATAGATTCTTACAGTTTCAAACAAAGATATAATGTAAATTAAAGTACTTTTTATTAAATATTTTCAAGTTGCAAGTAATCAAAAAAGTCAAAGTTGGTTATATTTTAAGTTTACAGATTTATCAGTTGACTAATGATATGTTATTGTAGCACAAAGCCTGTCAACACTCCACACAACATATTAAAATGATGCAACATATTTTTAAATATCCATCTTCTAGTTTATGAAATTGTAATTAACTTTATAAAACTAAACTGGGGTTGTATTTTATAATGAAAACCAAAAATAATACATCAAGTACTATCTATATATAAAAGCAAACTCATGGCATCTTAAATTCAATATAGTACGCATAATCTGTGGGGTTGAACACTGTTGAATACCCCATGCTGTTTTCAAAATGAGTTTTCTAACTGGACTGACAATCTCCATCATTTATCAGTCTGATTTAACACAACAGATTTAACTGATAAATAAGTGTTATGAGGATGGAGGAAAGTTTAATTATATTATCTGTTTTCCCTTGGTCAAAGTATTAATTAAAATGTGATATTAGTAACATCTAGCATCTAGATAACATATTTTAAAGTGACTGATCCTGCCTTCAAATAGCAATGCTATCTTAAGTACTTAGTACTTGATTTATGATGTGTTTCTTCTCTTTCATAATTAACTAAGCAAACTTCTCATGACCTGTTCAGAAAGATTAAATAATCAAGTACAGGTAACATTATAGAGGCATAGGCTTCACAAATTGGTAACCTGTCTCTGACACTTCTGGCTACACCATAACATTACAACTCCCCTAGTTCCTAAAACATTAGCTTCTGTAGTTGAATCTTTATTTAATAGAGTAAATAAAAAGTTGTTTTTTGGTTTTTTTTTTAAGGGAAATGCTATGGAAAGAGAAAAGCTCATAAAAATCAAGATCACTTTTATTTTTCCCTGAGTTAAAGTATCACTAAGAACTGAAATGTTAAAAATACAAGTTGTAATTATAAAATATGGCAACAGTAACATCACATTTAAAACATTTTTTTTTCTTCATTTCCCTTGGCAAATAAAGGATGTGAGGCATGGTTATTACTTATATTATTCACCTTCACAAAGATCTACAAAGAACAGAAAGTCTTTTCTTTTACCACTGCCTACCCAATGTAAACAGGAATGGTCCTAATCAGATACTTAAAGGTCTAATTCTGAGAAGAGAAGCTTTGATGGGTTGGGGGAGGGGTACAAAAATAGGATACCACGTGGTAACATTGACTCTTAATGTTTTAAAGCAGCAAAGTAAACATATAAAAATTGTAGAAAGCTAATGCTCTAATATGAATTTTAAGCTATAGTATTTTTCTTGATTTGTACCTAACAAATATAATAGAAAGTGTGATTTTTTTTAATTAGTAATTTTAAAACATCATCTAAGATGGTGTCAAACACTACTGACAACACTGCAATTTACAATAAACCAACCTAAATTGTGTCAGAACAAACAAAAACAAAATTGGGAATATAAATCTATCACTTCAAATTTTGCCTGACATGTAATTATTCTGTCTATCCCAGAATTACATAGCAATTTAACTGATTATGCTGGAATTACATTTTTTTCTTCAAATCATGATTTAATTTTCTGTTTCCCAAGGATAATAACAGAATCACCCCTGAATCACAGATAACATAGGTGAATTTAACAGTATACCAAAGAGCATTTATCTGGAGAATTGTTAGTAGGTTCACGTTAAAGTTTTTCATGAGCATTAATCAAATGTGCTTGCTTCTATTGAACATGCTAAACCAATTATTTAACTGAAAAGCAAGCAGTAGCTATATTATTTCATTATTCAGTGGAGATGAAGAAAAATCATCTTTAAAAATTCATTTTCTTTCATTCATAAATATCCAGAAAAACATTACTATAAGGAATATTTATTTTATACTTAATTCTAATTTACATGCCTAGATGAGAGTCACAAAGTTCTCAAACAGATCCCAGAATTTACCTAATCACAAAAATGTCAATCTCTGGAGGATGTACTTTTCCACATTATTCACAAATTTTGTTTTTCTTTTCATACAGTTATATGTAATTAAGTAAACTCTTCTTTCATACTTCTTTTTAGGATCTATAAGAAAACTCATCAAAAAAACAATAAAACAATCAAATAATCTTGCATATCAAAACCAGAAATCAATGATTTGTCCATTTTAACAACTGGGACACACTGAACAAAAATTAGCTCACACAATTTGTGGAAAATAGTATGGGCTGACAAAGTAATAGGATAAATAGAACAGAATGGCAGATGGATGAATCTCAGAAACATGCTGAGTGAAAGAAGCCAGACACTAGAGAGCCCATAACCTATGATCTCATTTACATAAAGTTTTGGTGCAGGCAAAATTAATTTGGGGTGATAAATATCAAATGACTGCTTGCCTGCTATGTGTGGGTGGGGAGGACTGACTACAAAGTGATAGATGGAAACTTTTGGGGGTGATGAAAATGCTGTGTATCTTCACAAAACACTTTAAATGTGTGCAGTGTACATAATTCTATTGTAACAAAGTGGATAAAAAGGCAAAATAAACTAAAACAAAAGGATGTGACTTAAAGATTTATAGAACTTGTGTCCCTTGAATCTGGGTTAACCAAGTGAGTTGTTTTATCCAATGAAATACTAGCAAAATATGATACAATTAGAGGCTTTTTAAGCCTGTGCATATTGTAGTTTGCCTATTAGCTCCTCTTGAAATCCTGAAACTATCATGTGAATAAGCCCAAGTTAGCCTGCCAAATGAGAGAAAAGATCCAGCATCTCCAGCTGATGGAGTCAACTGTCAGCTATTTAAGTGATATTTTCTATTTAAGTGATACTTCTGCATACTAGCAGAAATATGAATGAACTCAGCCAAAACTACCACGATTACTCAGATCTCACACCAAACTGCCTACCTACAGAATCATAAGCAAATAAGGTATTTTAAATCACTAAGTATGCAAAAGTTAATGGATACAAATATTTAAGAATTTGGTTTACAGAAAGAATACGGAGAAACTTCCTAGAGAAAGTATAGAATATGAAAGCTTCAAAAACACCAAAAGATTTTAAAACCTGTTCCTTTTCTGGTGTTGAAATAAAAATAAATTTTGTATGAGAGGTCATTCCTAATTCAGGAGTATTATACATTGCTATACAGAAACCTGACAGGACCAACTGAGAGGTGTGTTATCTTCCTACGGTGATATTCAAAATGAATTGAGAAATTGACAAGAAAATTTCCATGCCTTGTCTTTCCTATAGAATGAAGAAAAGACAAATCACACCTTCAGTAAGAAGTCTAAGATATCTCTGAGTAACTATGGAGTTTATGGTGTAATACTCAATGCCTGAGGAGCACCAGTAGTGCTTTCATAGCTTTTCCAAAGAACACTCAGAATTTATAAGACTTTATGAAAAGAAAATGGATCTTACAACATATTGAGAGAGTGTGCAAGGAGAGAAGGAGGGCGGGCAAATGGAACTAAAAACAGGATTTGGTTCTATAAACAAACACATCTCATAAAGCAGGAAGGGTGTGTTTGGCTAGAGACTTGATCAACTAGGCTTTCCATCACTGAAAAGAGTTCTTGAGTTATAGTAATTATAGTAATTTTATACTATTGAGAGCTGTATATCCTAAATGAAGAGAGAAATAAGCACAGGTAGAATGTCAATTGTTCACAAGAAAATAGAACTGAGGAAAGAATTAGAAACTGCATTAATGTCTTCAGATACATTTATACCTGACACATCTTATAGAGGCAGTATATTATTACCCTTAAGAATATCAACTCTGGAGTTTGCCTTTCTGCGTTTGAAAACAACTGTCATTAACCAGGTATGTCACTTTGGGAGCATTATTTAATCTTTCTGTGCTTTAATTTCCTCATTTGTAAAACAGGTGGGCTGGGGATATAGCTCAGTGTTAGAATGCTTGCTTAGCAAGCAGGAGGACCTGAGTTCAATCCTCAGCAATGTAAAAAAAAAAATAAAAAGCCCTGCAAAATAGGAAAAATATGTAATTCATAATACAGCCTCTATAAATGTTTGTTATTTTTAATTATTATTTTAATTGCAATGATCAGAATAGGCATAAGAACGTGAATTTGAAATGATTCATAATGTAATTTGGTAATGTAATTCCAATGTAATTCATAATGTAATAAAGCTTAACTCCTCAGAATACTTTCATTTTTTAAATTAGTGCATTGTAGTTATATATAATATATGGGTTCATTTTGACATAATTATACAAGCATAGTATATCACTGATCCAATTCAACCCCCATTACTTCCCATTTCCTTCCCCCTGTTCCCTTTCCTTTATTCTACTTCTCAGAATACTTTTAAAAGAAAATCCAGGTCCAGAGATATTATGCAATTTATCCAATGTTGCATAGTTAATAAATATCAGAGCTAAATTTTGAACCCAGACAATACAGATCTACCATCTGTGTCTTCTTTAATACACGGAACTAGTTCCATGGAATGGGATTCATAGTAGAATACAGAGAAGGACAGAAAACAATGGATATCCACATGGGATGAAATGGCTGCTATTTCACATCGTAAATAAAAATCTTTTCCAAGTAAACTATGGATTTACATATGAAAGTAAAAAACTAGAATTCCTGAAGACACACAAGACTCTTTTGACCATTGAGTAGCAAAAAATTTATTAACAAAAAATAAAAAGTACAAACCATGATATATCCATGAAGGATATCACTGATAAACTTGATCACATTTAACTTTAGAACTTGTATTTGTCAAACTCATTTGAGAAGGAGAGTACGAAAAGAGAGGTATTTGCTACATACATAACCAGAAAAGGGCTCATAATCAGAAAACCAAAAAAAAGAAAAAGTCATACAAACCAATAAGAAAAAGATAAGACTTTATAAAAGAGGATATCCAAATGGCCAATAAACACGACAGAATTCTCACTGGAAGATGCAAAATAAAATAAACGAAATACCACCATACACATACCAGAACAGATATAATAACAAAGACTGACAGAACCAAGTGTTAGTGAAGATATAAGTGATGAGAATTCTTCAAGTTACTTGTAGGAGTAAATCAACTAACTTGTAAAACTGTCTACATCTACTACAGTTCAATATACACATACTCTATGACCCAAAATTTTCACTGAAAAGTGTATATGCATCAGAAATTTATGTTAATGTTGACCAAACAAAAAATTCAGTGCAGCGCTATTCAAAATAGTCTCAAACAGAAAATAATCCAACTGCTCATCAACAATTGAGTAGATATATTGTAATATATTCATTCAATATACTACAGTATAATAAAAATGAATAAACTATAGTCATATACAAGGGTAAATCTCATAAACCTAATAGTGAGTGAAATAGATCAGGAGAAAATGAATACAACTGTATGATGCCATAAATTATAAAGTTATAAGTCAGTACTCTTGAAAAGTAGATATTGCAAGGACCTATCAGGAGGTGATGTTTATATTTATGTGCCTAGATGCATATTTATGACTTGTGTTCTTTTTTCTATGTCACAATTTAATAGAAATGGATTTAAAAAATATAGTTATGTCAAAAAAAGAACCTAGTAGTTAGTTATTTCTCAAAGATAAGTTAAAACAATGATGAAGTGCGCATGCTATTAGTTTTGTATTATACAAGTCTTATTTTTAAATCAATCATTCACACAAACACACACAGCAGGCCTACTTATTGTGTAACCCTATCATTACAGATCTGAGATATCTCAAACTGTGTTTTTAAGAAGCACAATCTAGCTGGTATCTATAAATATTTTGACTTACAAAACACTAACATTCTCTGCAACATATAACTACACAAAGGTGATTTTAAATGCCATGATTAAGATGACACTAAACTTTTAAATTAAATCTCTCCTATCTTCTCCAACCAGGAATATGAAAATAAAGAATCAAACAGCACCAAAAACAAAACCAACACAGAAGAAAACAAGCCCACATTACGTCTTCTTTCTAAAACCCTAGAATGTGATTTTGTCACCAATAGCAGAAAGACCTATAAAAGATCAACAAGTCTGCAACAGGAGCAACACAAAGTAACAGAACAACCCACTTATTCTTTTTAAGAAACCAAAAATAAAATCATGAGCAAGCATTAATCCCTTCAACAAGGAAACCTAAGTTGATGAATTATAAATGGTCTACAAAACTTGGAAAGTCTTCACAAGCTCCAAATCAAAAGCAAGTGTAATAAACTGTGCAAATGAGAAATTAAGTTTACATCTAAGGCCTCAAAATCTCTCAAATAGTCAGCCAACACTCTCTTACAGAAGCACAAAACCTCATACCAGGAGGAATAACTGAAGCCAAATTTAAAAACCTCATACTAGGAGAAAAAACTGAAGCAGAAAACATATACTAAGAGGAAGACTGTTCAGATGCTAAGAGGAAGACTGTTCAGATAAGGAACATAAGAAGGGAGTAATGCCCAGAGGCACCTATCAAAAAAACAAAACAGGGCTGGGGATGAGGCTCAAGCAGTAGCATGCTCACTTGGCATGCCTGCGGCCCGGGTTCGATCCTCAGCACCACATACAAACAAAGATGTTGTGCCCGCCGAAAACTAAAAAATAAAATATTAAAAAAAAAAAAAAAAAACTGGCACAGCACTATATAACATTTAAAGTTGAGAGTAATATTTCAGAATCCAAGATCTTTATAATTTTTTAGGGTAGAACAGAGAACTACCATGAAGTAAATATTCTATGTTAGTTCTGACAAGCACTGGATATACAGAAAGGTCTTAATCAAGTTGTCCGTAACAAAAAGGAGGAAGCCGTAGAATAGTCAAGTTGGGAAAGCTACCCTATCCTATCTTCCACTCCCCACATTCCATGTTTCCTCCTAACAGGCCAGTAAAACTGTCTTATTATAAGTGAAAAACAAGAAAAATAAAATAAAACTGTATAAAAAATTATTATGAAGAGAAAAAGAATAAAATACAAAAAATGACAGAAAAAATCTGAGAGAAAATGAATAGGAGGTAAGGAAAGGAAATCCAATATACTTATAATTGGAACCCTGAAAAAAAAAAAAAACTAAAGCAAGTGGAAAAAAATCTATAACTGTAATTCTAAAAGTATCTTTTCTCAAAAAAAAAATACTGAATCTACATATTAAATAACTGTGTTGTGTTGTGTACTTAGGAAAACTTATACAAGAATAACCAACAATATATATCATAGTGAGATTGTTAGATTTTAAAGAAAAAGAGCAAATTCTTTTGAGTACCAGATAAAAGTCTAAATCACTTATGAGAGAAACTCAGGATGGCATTAGGCTTCTTGACAGCAAAATTTTATCCTAAATAACAATGAAACTACATGATTAAGATACATAATTAAAGTAAATGTAAGCCAAGAGTACATAAACAGTCAAATATCCTTTAAATATAAAGGCTGCTAGTTATAAACAATGGAAGATGTGAAAAAATATTTTTTCCCATGAGCAAATTTTCCTTGAAAAATATTTCCTGAAAAATCTCTTAGAGATGAACTTCAGAGAACTAAGAAATGAATGGAGAAGTTTTAATATAAGATTTAAAGTGTAAGCAGACTGCAGAAACTTTAATAGTTTGGTTCATTTATTTTTAGGTTTTCCCTTCCTTCTTTATTTCTTGGGATACCTCTGATTAATAATACACTCACATACCAAATATGCTTTTGAAATGGATCATGCTATTTATCTTACATGAAGTTTTAAAATTACTTCACATTTACCAAAGTTTGAAGAGACAAAAATCACTATGAAATACATTAACTGATCTACATAAAAACAAAATTATTAATACTAACCTGATAAGCTCTGTTTATTTGGCTAGCTGCCCAACTAGCATATTTCATGTTGTCCTTTTTCATTTTTGCACTTGCTTTTGGATTAGAAGCGATATGACTTGCAGACTAAAAAAAAGAAACATCAAAAGCAAAATTTCTTTTATTCTAGCCAATCAAAAACATGTAAGGGTAACAGTTGCAGTGAATTGATAACAAAAAAATTTTAAAACTATCAAAAACTTTAAAAAATAAAGTTGAATGAAATTGGTGTTTAAAAATGAAAACATTTTAAAATACAGCATAATCCAAAGTAATGAAGACAAAAGGGTATTTTAAATAATACCTGAAGTTATTTAATTGTATATCTACCACAAATCTGAAAGTTAAAAGCCCTTATCACTTAAATAAAGAAGCCATGGAAACATACTTCTGTAAACCAAAAAGTACTTTCTCATTAGAATTTTAGTAATGCATATTCTTGTTACTTAATAGAATCAGCTTTCCAATGTCAGAAGCACTGAGTATTAATAGAAATCTCAAAAATAATTTATACTATACTAACAAGTGAAAAAAATTCAGTCCAATAGGAGTGATCTGACTTGACAAAAATAACTTCAATAGAAGACTTTTGAAAGAACATCCTTTTAACTAACCTATTTCTCTTTTCGCTAAAGAGCTTTTAAGTTTTGTTCTACAGAATTAATAACTACAATTTGTTATACCTTCTCCTTTTTAAAAACGTATTTAAATAAGAAATTCTTAATCTGGACCCATGAAGAATCTATAAATCCCTCAAATCATATCCTAATTTTTAAATGTATATTGTATTTCTGGGGAAGAGTAAGGTATAAATTCTGTTTTATTCTTAAATATATCTTATTCTTAAAAGGATCTGTCACCCAGTGATTCATAAAAAGGTTAAGCCTTTCTTTTATACCTAAGTGGGTGTTATAGGTTAACCTCCACTGTCAATGATGTATCTGTATGTTAATAACAAAACTTCTGTGTCTCATCACTTGTTGGATATGAATTTTTGTAAATGCAGTGGTTAAAAGACTGGATTAAAATGCCTGAACTGAAATCCCAGCTTAAACACTTGGGGGCTCTGTGTACATATTTGGGTAAATTAATTAAGCCTGTATATCAGTTTTACCATCTATGAAATGACAGAAATATCTATTCAAATACTTCAAATGAAGATTTAAGGATTTAAAACAAAACCAAAAAAAATGCAAACACGATGCCTGGTGCATAAATTTCAATGTAAATGTATTATTAATAATGACGTATTGTCACACAATTTTCAAAATAAGTATTTAATTTATTTAGTAACATATGTTACTGTTAACTATATCTCTAACCACTTGAAATTTGGAATTTTTTAAAAATTCCTTTGAACAATATTCTAGCCATATTTTGTCATTCCTTTCTAAAAATTATTTATATTTCTTCCCATCACTTTTTAAATCAAGTCTTTTTTTTACTGAGCTATAACAAGAAGATACTTATTAGAAAATTCATAGAAAGAGTAAAATAAAACAAAATTTCAAAGAACTGACCTATTAAAGTTTATTTTCTTAGTCTCTTTGATTGCAGAGGTGTTCATTTTATATATGAAGTTCAGCAAATTCTTTTATTTCCCATAGCTCTTATTAAATGGCTTTTCTAAGCTCTTCATTTGGCATAAAGTGTAGATAACTACATACTCCCAACAATTTCTAAACTTTTTTCTATGCCATAAAAATAATTAATTTGACATATTAGAGATTCTATTTTCTAATGTTTTTTATTAGCATAGTTTAAAAACATCTCACACAAGTAAACTTAGGTAACAAATAAAATAATGTTGGGCACAAAACCAAGAATATTAAAATATATATAATATACTTTGTTATATATTACTATTTAACTGTGTAAGAGTAGATATCAATTCTGATATAAAAGATATTTTATACGGAAATGTCAAATAGCTAGGATAACTTAACATTCAAATATAAAACTGCCTTACAACCTACTGTTATTAATACAAAAAAAAAAAAAAAAACAAGGAATGGTTAAAGAGGATTGTTAAATGGAGTTTAAAAGACAGATTTTGCAAAATAACATTAAGCATGCACCTCAACTCACCATGTAAAGCCCAAATAAAGCTCTCATATTTCTGTTGTTCAGTTTCAATGCCTGTGCAAAATATTTTCTTGAAAGTTCGAGGTTTTCAAGTCCACCCTGGGTATATTTAACCTGTTAAAAATTGCAGTGTGCTGAAACTTGTTTATTTTACTACTTTAAAATATAGCATGCTTCATCATACCATAGGCATTAAGTAATCGAAACAGATATTATGTAAACAAATGCAAGATGTTAAAAGAATTCACCTTACGGTTGTTAAATCTAATCTAACATAACTTCCCCTAAAAAGCTATTCTATTCTATGAACATTAAGATCACTGAGTAGTTTCTAAAACTGCTGGCACAATAAAAAAGCTCAGAAAAATTTCTGCTTGTATTGCCTTGCAAGTGCTACACATCAGTATATTTTCTGTTACTACCATTACAAATCTAGACCTGGATATTGAGTTGCCCTTTTACATTTGTACTCTAATAATTAAGAAAATAATGATCCTTTTGCGTTCCTTAATAATGAAGTCCTCTAACCTGATAGCATAAAATTATACTGATATTCTTTTTTTTCCACTTTTCTTTTTTAGTTGTAGATAGACACAATACCTTCATTTATTTTTATGTGGTGTTGAGAATCGAGCCCAGTGCCTCACATGCTAGGCAACTGCTCTACCACTGAACCACAACCCTAACCCCTATACACCATTTTTAACCACAGACAGATTAAATACTTCCTTCATCCCAAAACACTGGCCTTAATATGAATTTCCAAAAAATATGAATTTAAAAACCATAATCACTGTAAATTTCAAACCAATTAAATGGTGACAATTGTGACATATAAATTTATATTAGGAAAGAAAATAGTTTAATATACTATATAAAACACAAAGAATTCACCGTTTTAGTTGAAAGTACAGCATTTCCACTGTAATAGTAAAAATTCAGAATTTCTTATTCCCCCACTCAATATTCATCAGATGGTTTAAATATTTACATATTCACCTCAATGAAAAAAAATATTCTTAGTACCATAACAATACACAAGAGCAAGAAAAATAAAATCACAGAAATTTGTTGTTTCTAAAAACACTTACTTCAGCATACTGCTGACAGTATAAGTGGTTGTGTGGATTAGTCATCATAAGCTCCTCTAAACAAAAGGCTGCTTTTGCATAGCTGAAGAATATCAAGAGGAGAAATTACTTTTGAAAAATCACAAATTTTATCTTAGGTATGCCTTTAAATAATTTCAAAACAATTTAAGACACGTTATTTCCAAAACAATCTAAATGGCTTTATTAATAAAGTACTTATCCTAAATTCATAAATACCAATATAAAAATTTTAATGTATTGAAACAAATGTATGTCTAAATCCTAAAGCAGTCTATGAACAATTTATAGATACTACTTTTTATAGATACTATCATATTATAGTTATCTATATTTATAGATACTATCATGATATTTAAACATTATTAATAACAAAGACTTTAAGACCTTGGATCTACACATAAAATAATTTTTGGAAGTCCACAGATCGTTAACAAAATGTTCAAATAGCTAGCATAAAGAGGAACTACACACTTTATCAAATACTCCGTAATCATTAAAAATCCTTCACAGACATATATATTTGCCAACATATTCTATTACAAAGATTCTCATTACTTAAGTTTACTGTCAAATATTAAATTATATTTAAATTATATCTTTTAAACCTATGAATAATAAATTGTTAGTTTTGATATGCCCTCTACTAGTTCAAATCATGTGGTAGTAAAATGAAAATCTTGCTGAAAATTGCCAGAAATGGCTTTGGAAAACAGCTTTAAACCATGTCATCATTATTATTCACTATAATATATTTTATGTTTAAAACCATGCAACTATTCTTACTATTTAAAAGGAAATACTAAGAAATACACATATTTTAAATTTATTCTCAGGTGATGACACTATCCAAAAGAAAAAAAACTACCTACAGCTATTTTT